ATGTGGGAGTCTAGCACCCTTAACCACCACACCACCTGCCAACTCCCTGAAATGCTGTTTTAAGTATACTATTTAACCAGTGACTTAATGTATGTAAAGCAATAGAGTAGTCCCTGGCCCATAACAGTGTTATATAAGCAAAAATCTTCATAACCACCCTTGAAGTATTCTCACTATCCCTCATTTTTTTAAAATGGATTTTGAACCTAAAACAACGTAAAGGCAGAAGAACTTAACTCTCTTTGAAATCTCCAAGCCAGAGTAAGGGTTCCATGCCCCCTTCTCTAAAATGAGAACAGTTACTCAGTCTTTAGGGTAGCAATCTTAAAGAATGAAATCCCAGGTAGAGCCCCAGGAGCTCTGGAGGATGCCTTGGTGGAGAGGCAGAGAGGAAACTTGGCCTCTGGAGAACAAAGAATGATGGAGAAAGTAGGAGAGACCTTAACCAGTGGCTCTCAAACGCTAAATGTGCATCTCCATTGGCCTGGGGAAGATGGACTGCAAGTACCTGGATACCAGAACTGGACATTCAGTAGGTCTAAAGTGGGGCCCAGAAACCTGCATTATAAACAAGAGATTTGGGTACAGGACTTCCTTGAGAATCATTGCTATGGGAGGGGAGGCAAGGGGAAAATGCAAAAGACCGCATTGCCAGGAGGACAATGGAGAGTCAGTGGAGTTGGGTCAGAGCCAGTTGTTGAAGTTGGGGGTCACCACTGGTGCAAGGAATGCCCTTTGGAGCCCACCGAAGGCCTGAAATGAGTAAACTGGTGAGTGAAGAGTAGACAACGAGTCTGGATAGTTCTCAAGCCGCAGAGTATATTAGATTTGTCCTGGGCTCTCAGTCTCAGGACCCAGGCCCTGTTCTAAGTGAGCAAGACTAAGGCCCACCAGCTGGCTGGAGGAGGTGCTGGCCGCTGTGGTTTTCAAGGCTGCCCATTCTGTGTACCAGGAATCCGCGGGGCAAACGGCAGGAAGAGCAGCCTGGGAGAAGGGGTCTGGTTGGAGCCCATCCGACTGGGAAAAGCTTGCCCCATCACAGAATCCTAGATCGCCTGCTTCTAAGGTGCGCGCAGGAAGAAATCTCGCCCCCTCCGGGAGAACGGAGTGAAGAGGTGGCCTGCCACCCTGGAAACAGCTTTTAGGCTCCCAGGCCTCAGGGCTGACTCCGTTACGGTCCGAGGAAGCGGTCCTGTGTGTGTGGGCGTAGCACCGTGGACCGTTGTCAGAGGGCTGACACTCCAAGAGTGCGGAGGTGGAGGGCTGGGAGGAGAGGCATGTCACAAGTCCTCTCCTCCCCGCCCATTCCCGCCCGGGGCATTGGCAGAGTCGCTGAAGCCAGCGAGACGCTTGTCCTACAGCGCCTCCTCCTGGATTAGGCACCAGACAGCAAAGCAGGGAGATTGCCAGGCCCGGAAACCCTGGGCTGGGGGCTTCCTCCAGTGGGTGGGCGGAGGTCTCTCGGTGTGAAAGGCTAGTCCTACGGTTTCCCCTAGCGCAGCTGGAAGGAGTAGAGAAGACCACCACCCCTCCCCTAGCACAGACAACAAACTCGCGCATTAGCTAAGCAAACTCAAGCGGAAAATCCCTCCAGTTTGTCCGTTTATTTATTTATTTGACTGCTCTCCGCTGAGCCTCTGCCCCCCAAGGAGCCCTCGAACACGCTGCGCTGGCGTAACAAGATCCGGGAAAGATTGGCCTGTAGTTTGGCGGTTTGAACAGGCGCCAAGAGGAAAGGCCTTTTCCCAAAGCAGAAGCACTAGGCTGAAAAAAACCGACACACTTTCCCGAGGGATGAAGGTTGGGGAGTGTGTGTGTGTGTGTGTGTGTGTGTGTGTATAATTTCACGCCTGGGAATACGATTGTTTCCTTTGGGTTCTGGCTAGTATTTGCAGCCTGTTTGTAAAGAACAAATTTAAATTTCGGGTGGAGTGATAAGTCACGGTGGTCGAAAACAATACACTCAAGGGCAGAGCTGTTTGACTATATTTAAATAGAAGGCTGGAGTTCAGGAAAGATGAGTAGCGAATCCTGCGGGCTGGGGAATGGAGAGAGCAAGTTAGATCTTCCGGCTCTGCGTCCACTCGCCCCTCCCCCATCCGTGCTTTGCTGGTTGAATCTTCAGGCCGAGCTATTTCACTGCACATGCGCCGACGCCTAGCGGGCGAGCGTGCGTGGCAGGCGCTGCGGAGCACTGAGCTGCGCCTGCGGCGTGCGCTGCGCGGTGCGGTTTGCGGCACCGCGCACTAGTCCTGCCCCTAGCTGCGGAGAAGCTGGGCAGATCCCATTCAATGGCAAAAAATACATTTTTCTTTTTTCCAGCAAAACCTGTATTAAAAGCCTCAGTCGTCCTTTCTGATTTGCAAGCTCTGTTCAGCAGAACTAACAAAACTCCTGGTTGCAAATGAATCCTCTCAACGTTGTCATTTAGAGTACGAATTTCACATCTATGACACCTCTTCCCCTGAATCCTTCATCAAGGCAGGGAGAAAACCACCCTACTATGCTCAGAGAGCACTTCTCTCTCATTCTGCAGAATTATCAAGTCTAAGGGTCTAGTCTCCAGAAAGGGTATCTATTAATACCATTTCTGAAAAAGATTTAATTAGATTTAAATCGGAATTCTGAATTCTTGGTGGCTTCTCCCCAGTTTCCGGTGCCCCCGCATACCCTGCATGGCCGCCGCACTGCGGCAAGGCCGTAAATACCTCTAACAGCTGCCTGCCAGCCCAGGGTGAAATACTGTCTTTGTTCCAATTTCCCCTGCCTCTCCGACTCAGAAAACAACTCTGGCAAAATATATTTGTTTGTAGGAACATCTGACTGAAAAAATAGGCTTGGTTTTCAGCCCTAACGCCTGGCTACATTTGCAATAGTGACATTTTCTCTTTCTCTGGTCCTTCCAGAGATCACAAGCTTAGCGGTAGCTGACCCTTAGACACCCAGGTCAGGAGATGCTAACGGTCCCTTATCTATAAACAGAGGTTCAAGCCAAGGACTGGAGTTACACATCCGGTTTCTGAGCTCTTTGGGTTTGAGCCTTTTTCATTTGTTTCATTTTTTGTTGGGTTAATAGAGACAATGGGAGCATTTCCGGTAGTGACAACAGCATTAACTAGTCTCCCCATTGACTACATGGCCTGAGTTCAAGTATGATTTGCAGTCTCATTTATTCACTGAGATGCAATTGACCGTTTCATTCCAATAAGCTCTCAATGTTACGATGGTGCTGACTGTGAGGCCCTCAGTCCTCCATATCTGCGTATGACATCACCCTTCACTGGGAAATCGGACCTGCAGCCCGCCCAGGTTCTTAAATCTCTTGAGCATGCTGGGCCATAGAACCCAGGGAAAACCTACTGCAGCTCTGAACACAGGACCTGACCGCCAGAAGCACAACTCAACCCACACCCCCAGGCACTCAAGGGCTCCTCTGGCTCTGGCTCTGGCTTTGGCTCTGGCTCTGGCTCTGGCTCTGGGGCAGGGCCTACCAGCTAGCCCAGGGACCTGATTTCCAATAGGGAAATGCTTTTCACCAATACCAAAGAATGATCTCATGGCTATTGTGCCACAGTAGACAGATACTCCAAATAAAATATCACCCCAGTTTCTTATTTTAAGTGATCAGAATTAGTGATCCAGGACAATTCTGCCGATAACAGCTGGATCCAAATCGTAGCACTCCATTTTGAAAGGAGCGTGATTCCATCATTAATTACAAAAAGTATCTTTCTAAAAAGATATCATTTATTGTTCAGAAACACTCATAGCAGACAACGTTGTTACCCTAGAAATTTGGAGGAACAATAAGTTAGGATTTGCCGCTAGGTGCTTTGGGGAGGATATCCGCCATGCTCAGATTAGCCCCAATTTGTGCGCAATGCGGCAAATTGTCCAAAGGTTTTACTATTTCACAACGTGTTCATGAGCAAATTGGTATAGGATTTGTGAACTACATCCACAAGTGCTGCTCAAAATTGGTGAGAGAAAACCACATTTTTTCCTGCAAAGCTTTTCTTTTATACATTTTGGCTCATTAATTTAAACTAGATGAAAAACTGTTAAATAATATTTACTGATAGGCAAAAAAAAAAAGAAACAAAAACCCAAATACATTTAGAAAGCAAAAAGATGTGCATTTTTTTCTATTCTGGCAAATATGAAACACACGCGATATTTGAACATAGATGTTTCACATTTCTGAAATTTCTATTGGATTTTTCCCAAGACCTGCACCAGATTTTCTGATATTATTACCTCTCAAAACATGCATCCATTTTGTAACATGAAATAATCCAAATTCACTGGACAAATGATTAGATGTGGGAGGAACCTATTTCACACTTAAAAAATTATCTTAAGAACTACACAAACATCTTAAAATATTTAATATTTCATCTCATACATAAGGCCCACTAAACCATAAACCCTAGAAATCAGCCAGAACCACTGACCAATGCCTAGATTCAAAACCAAGCGTATCATGGGTACACAGACACCCCCCCCAAGCCCTAACCCTCACAAAGACACCTGTTATACTCCCAAATACCTCTGATTGCAGACAAACCGCAAAAAACACTGTTATATACTGCAGGGTGCCTTTAGTGACCCCCAGCAGAACTGAGATATCCAGGAGTCATCTACAGACCTCCCAGGGAGGGATAGGGGCTCTCGGTCAAGAGAAGGGTCCTGCTTGCCGCTACCGATCTCTCGGAATTTTTGAGAGGAAACCAGGCTTCCTCTTTTTGACTTCTGAGCCCAGCCTAACCCCACCCCGGGCCCGGGAGCACGCCTTAGGGATGTAGTAGTGGTCAGGAGGTAGGGGGTGTAAACAGCGGGCTTCCAGGTCCCAAGAAAGTGTAGGGGGGCGGATAGGGCTCACTAATCTGCCCAAAGGGGTTGGTGCCCAAAGTTCCCCGGTAGCAGTGCTCGGGGTGCGGGGAGGGGGCGACTCTTACCCGGAGGCTCGGAGCTGGAGGCGGCTGTCGTTGGGCGGCCCGGGCGCCTGCCATAATCCATTAGGCGCTGCCCGGCAGCGCGCACTCTCGGCGGTAGGGACCAGCTCATGTTGGAGAAAGAGCCTCTTCGGAACTGCGAGGCTGCAGCCACCGGGAGCAGGCGGGCTGTTCCCGGCCAACTCGCACTGGCGGGGACTGGCGCCCGAGGCTCTTTCCCGGCACCAGACCCCGGCTCCCCACCCGCTCTGGAGGCAGCAGCGGCTCAGTCCGAGAGTGCGGTGGTAAGGCTAGGCCTGGCACCGGGCTGGAGCCTTGGCCGCGGCGGACCCTGCAATCCCGCAACCGGCGACTGGAGCCCACCTCTGCAGAGACAAAGGTTAGAAAAAGAGGGGGTGAGGCTCTGGGAAAGCAGAATGCGGGGGGAAATTCGCCTGGGAAATCAGGAAAAAGGCCGTGAAGGCGAGCGGCGCCTGCACATGACCAGCCGCAGCCAATGACGACCGCAAATAGGTCATAAAAAGGTCTATTACCAAGTTGTAAATTTTCTTCAAACAAAAAGGAATTTACTGCAATTCCTTGCGGATTTTGCACATACAGCTCACAAGCGCCATGTTTTCTCTCTCTCTCTCTCTCTCTCTCCCTCTCTCTCCCTCTCTCCCTCTCCCTCCCACCCTCTTCCCCTCACCCCTCTCTCATTTCTCCCTTTTTCCTTCCCTCCCTCTCTTCTCTCTTTTGTACCTCTTTCCTTTTTTCTTGTCTCTCTGGTGTCTTGCTCTCTCACCTTCTATAGGAATTATTTGTTTTTTGTTTGTTTGTTTTGGTTTTTGTTTTGCTCGAGACCTTTGCTGTGTCTGAAGGAAATGAGTGCGGTGTACTGCCCAGGCGCTGGGACGTTGATCTCCCCGGCACTCCTACACCTCCCTTCCATGCCGGTCACTTGGCTTCTGCTCTCCTCCCCCACAAAAAGGCCGGTCAGGAAGGGTAGCTAAACACTTTCAGTTTTTCCCTTCTCACCTCCAGGCAAGCCAGCCCCTGTGCTCTGCAGAAAACCTGGACTTCTCAGGCCAAGAAAGTATGCCCCTCTCCAATAAAAATCGGGGTCTCTCCCATTTCCTAGGGTTTCCGAAGCAGGCGAGCCACCAACCAGCTCGTAGTCTGGTAATGGTTTTAGGTACTTGTCAACCTCTTCCCAGGACTATTCAAGAGAGCACCCACTGCCTGGTCTTTTATCTCCACAGGAACATCTTTCTGGGCAGTTGCTGGATGTAAGACTCAGTCTTTCTGAATCCCCTGTGAAACCCCTCGCTTTAGGTTCTTCCTAAGTGCAATCATCATTACAGAATTTAATTACAGTTCTCCACTCTCCAGGTGCACCCCCCCCCCAATAAATGTTCATTCAAAAAGTCTGCTTAATGCAACACTTAAGAGGACAGAGGCTCCATTTGTTCAGGGAAAAAGGGATTCCCTGAAATAAGTCTAGGAAAAAACGATTCCTTTTTCCTCAAAAAGCAAGGGTCACATTCTCTTTGCATTTTTCATAGGAGCTGCTCAGGTGTACTGTCCCTGAAAGGAAATGTCCCTGACTGGCCTCCAGAATTCCCCTCATATGCATGGTCATCCAGATTTGCCTGAAAGAGGTAAAACAAACAAACAAACAAAAAAATACACCCAAAACCCTCCCTCCTTACTATGTCTTTGGGCCTCTAGTGATGTATTTATCAATAGTTGCATTGGATGTCTGTAAATAAGGTCTCTACTATTAAGGTCTTTATACCCACTTAGCACCTAAATCAATGTGGACTTGAGCAGGAAGCAGCACAGCACCCTCTGGAGCATGCCATTTGTAGCCCTTGAAGAAGTTTCAATGACCTTGGATGCTTTTGATGGAAGGGCTTCTGATACCATCTGTCAGGAAACGTCATATTCTTTCTAGAAAAAGTCAATGAGCCCTAATTTTGCAGGAGAAAACCCCAACAGTAGCTAGAGTCTATTAAACTGTTCTCTTTCTTCCCCTGTCTACCCTAGATACCAACGGATTCAGCAAACATCAGGGAAGCAGAGAATACAACCCTGGATATGAAAGAGCAGAATCTTCTGCATTGAAGAATTAAGCAGTATTTTTAGTTGCACAAGCAAATGCAGCAAATTGTTGGGCCTTCTAAAGCCCAGAACACGTTACTCTGTGGAACTGATCAAAGAGATTGTCTGATTCTAGAATTTTCTGAGAAATAATCTCAATAGTCAGTTTACCTCATCCTCCCCTCCCCCTTTACCCAAATAGAAGCAGAGCTTTATAATCTTGTTTTTCAGCTTTGGGAATAAGGACTGATAAGAAACTCTTTGCACAGGGAAGGTAGCCATGTTTGCACTCCACTCCCCTTCCCATGCAGATGTTGTGACGTTCTGCGCTTTGTGGAACCTCACAAAATGGCATCCCTAAACTGACTTTTCTCTAGAAACCATTGAGACCCATCCTCTTTTGTGTTTCTGGTCTTTACAAATAGAGAGCCTAAATCATTCTAAAGCCTTGGTTCCTTTATTTAGTGTTAGCGTTGGAGGGTCCTATTTTTCTCAAAACAAGTTTACAGGCTGATAGCCTGCTGCAGTCCAGGCAGGACAGGAAAAAATGCTGCCTGGGTTTGCAAAGGGTTCTCTAGATTTATGCAAATTTCTGCAGCAAAAATGTTTGCTGATTGCCACAAACCTTCGATGTTTACAGATTTGAGCCAATTAGAAGGGTTTCTTTCTTGTGCACTCTCGCCACTAACAGTCTGTGCATAAAACACCATGATGGGCGTTGCGGTGGTGTTTAACCCCTGTAAGAAAGATGGTGACTATATGTGTGCTGTACAATTCTTCAAGGTCATTACTTGGAGATGAAGCTATGCTCTTTTCCAGCTACAGAAGGAAACATATATACCTATACTTATAATCAGCACTTCCTGCATGTGTGAACTTTATGTAAATGTACAAATGCATGTTTTGAAATACAGCAGTTATTCCAACAGAATAATTTTCTGTGCATGAGCTAAAATTTTACTACGGGCTAAGAGGCAGGTGGGACCAGAAGGTACAATACTTTCAGAGTGGCACAGAATGCCAAGGAAATCATGTTTTTGTCCCCACTTCATTCCACACCTACCCATGTGCTAGGTCTTGTCAAAATCAGTGGCTCTGCAATTGGTATTTGGGAGTATCACAGGAGACAGTGAGTTTTGCTATTATACAGGAGTCCCTTACATTGAGGGGACTTGGAATTTAGCCAATTTATGCTTGAGGCTGTTTCTCAGTCATTCTCCTAGGGCTTGATATCATTACTCCGCAAGAGGACAGCAGTCTTGGGCAGTGCACAGTGCAAACTGTTCCAAATGCAGCATGCCCCTTTGCAGCTGTCTCCTCCTGTGCAAATGTTTAAGCCCCAGGCCACCCGTGACTTAAAACTGTCTTGGCTGGCTCAGGTCGGTGAATGTCACAGCCACAGCCTATTCCCAGTGTGGAAAGCCAAGTGGTGCTTTGCCTGTGACCTGTCCAGTACCAACATTCTCTGTGAAGCAGCAGGCAAAAAGCTTGCCACCACCTCAGGGGCTAACCATGGCCGGAAGCTACAGGATTCCATTTTCTTAAATGTGCAAAAACACTCTGGAAATTAAAATGTGTCTCCTTAAAAATAAACATGACTAAAAAAAGCAGAGAGCTCTTCAATATCTACCTAATAAAGGTGCTTTTCATTTTTCAGAGAAAAATGTTATTTTACTTGAATTTGTCCATTCCCTTCTTCCCCTCTTTGCCCTCCCTTTGCCCCATAAAATGGCAGCTGCAGAAACAGCCTCCAATGGAAAGTGGATATCTTGTTAATAACATGCCAAACCCCAGCATCAAGGATGGCTCAGTGGAATAAGTTGTAGTGTAACCTGGACACTGAGGTCATCCCCCACTGGGCCTACAACTCAGTCCTTTGCAAAGTTCAAAGCCATCACAGTATCTTAAGCAAGATTATTGAGAGCAAAATAAAGCAAGGATAGCCTGGCCAGCCCAGTCTAGACTAAGAACACTCACCCCCACCCCAGCATTTTTTAACAGCCTTGGAGGTATGTAACCCTCCTCCCCATTCCGCCATATCAGACTTAATTAAGCCTTGAGGTATTGGTACCCTGGTTTAAGCCTAGGTGATTTGGGAAATGGGTATTTGAGGCACTCAAAGACACTAGCTCTAGAGAGATACACTTTTTTATTAAGGAGCTAGTTGTATGCTGGAGCGGTTGTTTACACTCACATTTTTCTGCATTTGGTCTCAGGGCTTGTTTCACTAGGTGAGGCCATGGTTTTCCTGCAGGGGACGTAACAACCGACATCTAAGACACGCACAGCAAGCTGGCTTAAAACATGCGTGCAAACAGAGCAAAGGGAATACAAATAAATATGACATCTAGTTTAAAAATGGAATCATGGCGGCAGCCGCAGTGTACAGACTTAGCGATTTCAGGCAATTACAAGTGTGGTTCAAAACGAAAGCAAGCTGAGAAATGAGACGCGATACACAGGCGGCCTGCCAAAGTGAAAAGTTAATGAGTGAAAAATGTTATAATTGTTTTTTCAAGTATTCATTCTCTAAATTATTTAATTGTCATAATTTGTACAGACTATAGAACAATGACTAAGTGTCACCTTTGACATTGTCCTGAAACGTGTCACTAGCCCAACATTTTCCTGAAGTTTAAGGGAGCTACAGAGCCAGGACTACACATTACAGTCTTCAGCTAACATGTGCTTTTCAAATATTTGGCCCAGACTTTTTTCTCCCCCAAGATAATACATTTACACAATACTCAAAGAAGCCCTTTAGGAATAACACAAAAGGCACCCAAACCATTCATTATAAAAGCAGGGAAGAAAACATAAATAATACATTTTAATCAAATAATATAAAGTAAATATTCTGCAGGCATAACTTTAAAAAATTAATAGATTTCTTTTAATTTACTTATCATAAAGAAAAGATTTTAAAATGTTCAAGTGCACTTGTTTGATTAATAAAGCATTTTATACTCAATTATTTAGGGCTAATCATTAGGAAGTTTACGTTGTTGAGACAAATCACCAGCTCAGACAGTTAAAAACAATTATAAAAATATAGCTCCAAGATCAGTATCAAATTACCCTTCATAGGACAGCTCAAGGACGCTCCTATGTGATACTAGAAACTTTTTAAAACACACAAATCCCTCTCAGAAGCGCAGAAACCTCAAGAGCAGTGACATGAAGGTAGCTTGAAACACAGGTAGGGTCCTTTCCAACAAAGAAGATAGGTGGTGTCCACAAGCTTAGGTTGATCGTTAGTTTTAATAGTCTGTGGTAAATTTTAAAAGTAGAAGCTAATTTGTCGGGCCTTCGGCTCTGTCTTCCTCCACCTCTTGTGCTTCCTTTTTGGTTTCCCCGTCCTTCGCCTCCTGCCGGGAAACGGGAAATTTGTCCTTGTTATTCTCCTTTTTCCATTTCATCCTCCTGTTCTGGAACCAGATTTTTACCTGTCTCTCCGTGAGGGCTAAGGCGTGGGAAACCTCGATTCTTCTCTTCCTGGTCAGATAAGGGTTAAAAAGGAATTCCTTTTCCAGCTCTAGGGTTTGGAAACGACTGTAGGTTTGTCTTCCTCTTCGTCTACCAGGAGCTGCTGGTTAAAACAAAAACAGGAGAAATGAACGTTTTGAAAACGTCATGGTGTCCCCACAAGTTGTCGGAAGTCCACTGGAACCGGTGCAGGGGGTGAAATATACACAGCGCTCATAAGCTCTGAGATACATACATATATATAGGGTGTGCAGGCAAAAGGGGCAGAGAGAAGGTCCTCAATTATTCTATCCCCATCATCTTTACATGGTTTCTACTTTTAAAAAAAATGTATTACTTTACGAATAAGAGCTACTTCGGCTACATAAGAAGGAAAAGCAGGGGGAGAGGGAGAAGAAAGGGGAGTTTTAAGGCTAGAACGTGAGATGAAAGCAAAATTTCCCCCTCTCCCCTCTTTCGGAAAAAAAAAGGCATCCCAACCTTGTGGTCTCATCCAGGGAAACATTTGAGAAGGAGACGAGCTCTGATTTAAGTGGTCTGGGTCCTCGCCAATATTACCACTGGACGATTTACAGTCAGGATATTGTACCAGCTCGGCCTCTTGCTGGGTCGTAAAAATCGGCTGTCTCTGTAAGTTATCGTATCA